TTAATAAGGTGGACTTGCCGACTGCAGATTCACCAAGGGCATTACAGCAAATGGAAGAAGCATTTGAATTAGAGCCCGAGAATGCAGTTTTGGTCAGCGCAAAGACGGGATTAAATGTTCCAGCCATCCTTCCGAATGTTATTAAACAAATACCAGCGCCAGTTGGCGACCATACTAAGCCACTGAGGTTATTGTTAGTAGACTCATGGTACGATAACTACAAGGGCGTTATTCTACTGGTTAGGATTTTCGATGGAACGATCAAGGCCGGTGACCAAGTTGTGAGTTTTGCAACCGGGATTAAGTATTTCGTGGGTGAAGTAGGAATTATGTATCCGGACCAGACACCTCAAACTATTTTGAGGGCTGGGCAGGTTGGATACATCTACTTCAACCCTGGTATGAAGAAAAGTCAAGAGGCTCTAAGTGGTGACACATATACCACTGTTGGCTCAGAACATCTAGTCGAGGCATATCCTGGCTTCGAGGAGCCAAAATCTATGGTTTTCGTGGCAGCATTCCCAGTTGATCAAAGCGACTATCATCATTTGGAAGACTCCATCAACCAAATCGTACTCAACGACCGAAGTGTAACTTTACAAAAGGAATCTTCAGAAGCGCTTGGTGCAGGATGGCGTTTAGGGTTTCTTGGTACTCTTCACTGCTCCGTATTCGAAGATCGTCTCCGTCAAGAGCATGGCGCAAGTATCATCATCACACCACCCACCGTGCCCTTCAAAGTCATCTGGCGCGACGGAACAGAATCCATCATCCAAAACCCCGCGCTCTTCCCTGAACAAGAAACCACACACCAACGCGTCCAAGAACTTCAAGAACCCTACGTCTCAGCAACCATCACCCTCCCGGAAGAATATCTCGGCAAAGTAATCGAACTCTGCGAATCAAACCGCGGCGAACAAGTCGATCTCACCTTCTTCACCGCCACCCAAGTAATTCTCAAATATGACATCCCTCTCGCCCAACTCGTCGACGATTTCTTCGGAAAACTCAAGGGTGCAACGAAAGGGTACGCAAGTCTCGACTATGAAGATGCAGGGTTCCGCAGGAGTAGTATTGTGAAACTCCAACTGCTCGTGAATAAAGGTCCCGTGGATGCCGTGGCAAGAGTCGTACATACAAGTCAGACGGAAAAGATAGGTAGACAATGGGTTACCAAATTCAAAGAACATGTCGACAGGCAAATGTTTGAGGTTATCATTCAAGCGCAAGCGGGAAAAAGAATTGTCGCGAGAGAAACGCTTAAGCCGTTCAGGAAAGATGTATTGCAGAAGTTACACGCAAGTGACATTGGGAGAAGGAGAAAGTTATTGGATAGGCAGAAGGAGGGAAGAAAGAAGTTGAAGGCGGTTGGCAATATTGCGATTGAGCATGAAGCTTTCCAGAAATTTTTGGCCAAATAAAAGGGGCTGTAGACGAGCTTAATGAACGAATATGTGTATCGAATACCACACTTTTTTATACAACATATTATTATTTTTAAAGGAAGAGTAGGTATGCTTTCATTTCCATTCATCCTATCTTAATCCTATCCGGGTATTTCATACTCCCATCCTACCGATCAATCATCTCGCCATCCTCCCTTGTGAACTCCGATTTGCTTCAGTTCCAGAAGTATCGAATTACCTAGTATACAATACTACCCAACCCAACAACTTTAAAATATACAATCCAGTCCAAAACGCAAAAAGCCATGCACCTTCTCTCGAATTCCACTCAAAAGGTGTCGAAATGATAGAAACGCCATTCCCGGGACCCATCGATCCGCCATTTCGTGTGTCTGACTGAACCATTCATATGTATAAAACCCCATTTATCGCTGCCGATATATATTAAGCGAACCCGTTCAATCTTGAGCGCGTTCCTTTCCCTTATCCCTCTTATTACTATTCCCATTCTCTTTTTCCTCAATGCTACCCCCCTCCTCCCCTTCCATTACCTTTCCATCAAATTTCGCATCTTTGGGTCCACTCCCATCCAAGCCCTCCCAATTCCCATCCCATCCTTTTTCATCATCCACTGCCCCAATCGTTTCTCCTTTCTCGGCCATACGTCGAACATCACTCCAATATTCCAATCTCTTGACTTCTTGATCTGCAGCTTTAAGTGCTGCTTCAAGATTCTTGGCACGTTGTCTTCGTTTCATACTCGCACTGTCGGCCTCAGTCTCGTCCCCTTCCCCCTTTTTACCCTCCTCAACCTCCCCACCCGACTCCTCAAATTCCTTCATCAATCTCGCCAGCAGAATCCGTCTACTCGCCTGAAAGATAAACATATTCATAATCTCATGCATATGTTCCGGCTCTGTCAAATAATGCAATTCCTCGCCCCCATGTTTGATAAAACTCTCCACTGCTTCCATTTTCTCTCTATCGATTCGACAAATTCGGAGCACTTTCATTAGAGTTGCAATATTACTTATTTCCTCGACCTTCCACTCGGTTTCGTAATTGCGGCTTGAGGCTGCTAGACTGTTCCGACTTCGACCATCCTCTAAAGCATTGGGGCCTGTGAGAGTCGTTGCGCGACTTGTACTACGAGGCTAATAAACGAAATCAGTATTGCTGAAAATCATAATTGGAGATGATTTTGGATTTCGTGTTCAATTGAATGACGATGATGGATAATAATAAAGTACTTACTGGATGTATAGTAAAATAATCCTCATTAAGCATGTGAGCGTGTAGTGGCATATCACCCTTTTTAACTCGTTTTCGAATCCATACTCTTCTTCGAACAAATGAGCTATACCATTTGGCATTATGCCATGACCATTTCTTGGAGAAAGCGAAAGAATATTCCCACCCTTCATCATCGACCTAGTTTACACCATTAGCATATATTCCAAATAGTATAGCCATGGACAATTGGCGATCAAGAGTCCAAGTTCTAGCTTAGTGGATTAGATCCTCAGATTGTCGATGTGCTTACCCCGTCATCATGATTGACAATCCACTCTGGCCACGCCCATTCCCAACTTGGATCCGGTACTTGAGCATTCGAAGTATTTGTCAAGCTGGGCTTGTTCGTGATCTTTGTCCAAGGCGCGGCATCCAGAACCCCCAATGCTTGACCAGAAAACATATGCAATCCACATAGAATCAACCCTCGTTCATTTTCATATAAGATATCAATCTCGCAAGGCAGTTTGTCCCGTTCCTGTTGAGCTTTTGTTCTTCTTCGACTTCGGCCCCGATTCTCTTCATCGTCGACGGCATCATAGACCTCGGAAGGTATGGTTCTGCAGGGATAAAGTTAGTGACTTGCGCATATGAATGGTAACGAATATTCCCATACACCATCGAGTTGACTTTAATAGGACTATCTTCAATTTCATCTGCGGCCACATGCGCATCTCTATATTTCTTCCATTTCCTCCTTGTCAACTCCGCCCTCAAAGACCTCCTTCTCCTCAATGGCTCATCAGCTCGATCCCTCGACGACGAATCTGTTACAATTATCGCAGGCAGGTCATCAATTTGGACCTGCCCTCTTCTTGAACGACTCCGACTCCGACTCCGACTTTGAATCGCATTTGGATCTGTGTGATCCACCAATCCGATTTCATGATCATAGTCAGCATCGGTTAGTGGTTGAGGTCTCTTATTCTTGGATTGAAAAATGGACATTCTCTCGATTTCACGAGAACTGCATAGCCGTTGAATTGAGTTGCGCTTCTGCTGGCTGGCTGGCTGGAGGGTTGGTCGTCTTCCTCTCCTTGAAATTAAAAATAAAATCGAAGCTGGTCTTGTTTTGGTTAAAGATGCTCGTGTTGAGAACTAAAATCTAGATTGCTGATAGCTCGGCCAAGCTATCTCATGGGTCACTGTGTAATGAAAGTCAATCCCCCCAGGAATTCCTTGATTGATTTCGATAAAAGAGAGTTGTGAATGGAATTTTGTTGCACGTCTGTTCCAAGTTATTTTGTTGGAAGAATTGATGTTCAATTGAATGTTCCAAAACCAAAACCATGTACGGAGCAAGTATGGCATCTGCTAGGTAACTACCAACTACCTACCTACCTACCTACGATACCCAGCCTAGCTACCTATGTAAGCAGTTAGACTCTGTCTGGATCAATTGAAGAAGATGGAAGAACGGATTGGGATAAAACATTGGTGCTGACTACTAATAATAAGTACTAATAAGTACTAGGTGGGTGGGTTGGGTAGCTTTGATACTTGCGCGCCCCCGTTTTTTTTTATGACGCGCTAGGATATTTCACTCTGGCATCCTGGTATTCAGGTTGTATATGTTTCTGATCTCCCAGTACCGATCTTCCATGCTTGATGAGGAGTGAGGCGAATGAAACATGGATATGGATCTATGGATCTATGTATCTATGTATCTTTGTATGGGTGTATGGGTGTATTTAATTTCAATCATTTGTATCGATGCTGATGGCTACCTACTCAGTAATAATAAATGGTATTCCAAATAACATCCCCTACCCAAATGATATTAATCCTCTAATCCTCTTCTCCCACAAGAACAAAGCAAATAGACTAAATAATAAGTTATGACCTTGGAACCTCCAGCTTTACCAAAGCACAACCCCGTGACCCATCAATAGCACCGCCACATCCCCCGCCACATCCCCCGCCGCTTTCATCTCGAGCTTTCATCCAGTCTTGACCAGGATAGCTAAACCTATGACGTTACACTTCCCCCTCATCATCAATCCAAGAAACATCATATCATCGAAAAAGAAGAGAAGAGAAGAGAACCAGAAGAAAAAGAAGAAGCATCCTTCGTCGTAATACTTTCATAAACAAGAAATTCACCAATCAAACCATCACCTACAAAAACCTCCCGTACTACCTTCCCTTATTTCAAGAACTTCTCTTTTCCTTCTACTTCCTTCGAACAGAAACATTCTCATTTAGTATTATATTCCAATACTTCCATCTACTTACAAATAAACTTCTTCAGCAATCAACAAATACAACCAATCTCAATCAAATCAATCTATACATATCACAATGGCTCAACGCAGTTCCCGCGCTCCTCTCTACATTGGTCTCGCCGCCGCCGGTGGTGTAGGTTATTATTTATATAGCGCAGGCGGAAGTCCCAAGGTTGCTGAGAAGCAATTTGAAAGTATGTATTCTCCTTCTCAATCCCATTTTGCCTCATTACCCCCTTTCCACCATCCAATATCGCCACCAAATATCAACAATCTCAAATCCCTCAAACTTCCTCGCTTCATAACACAATAATACAATACTCCGCATTGAGCCAATAACTAATCAGTACACCCAAATAGGTGATCTCTCCCGTGCTTCCGCAAAAGTAAAGTCCGAGATCCCAGGTCGCACCACACAAGCTCAAAAGGAAGCCGAGAAATGGGGTTCTGAAGCTGGTGCTAAGCTTGATTCTGCTGTATGTCTATCATCTCTACCTTTCTAGCCTCCCATCCACCCCACTCCCACAAACAACTAACTCCCCGTCCCACAGACCAACCAAGCCCGCGCCGAACTCGCCAAAGCCGAAGGAAAATTCGAGCAATACAAGAACGACGCTGCCCAAACCACCATGAAGAAGATCGACGAAGTAGACCGCAAAGTCGAGGCCGAAGCTGCGAAGGCTAAGAGCGGTATTTCCAGCTGGTTTGGCGGGAAATAAATTTCCCAGATATTGTTTCGAGAGGAACGAGTTGTTCATGCTCGCAAGCGAGCTAAGACGTGTGCAAACATTATCAAATTGTGATGTCGTTAATGGGTAATGATGATATGGCTTCGAACGCATGACGCGAGAGATAGTCACTTGTTTTTTTTAATGGCGGATACGGATGCATAGTTTTGGGATGGGGCTTCTATGAAGGAATGGGTCTCTTCGCAAGTTAGTTAATGATGCCCGCATGATGATGGGAGTTGTATGATAATGATAAAACTACCCTTCGATGTATCAAGATACTTTTATATTTGCTCACAGTGCTCTGCTGAAAACATTCCCTCGATAATATTGATCATCTATTTTTTATTTTTCTCTTTCATTTGTTTCTCCCAATTGGTTGTTGTGAACCAATGCGACTCTCTGCTCTCCAGCAAGCATAACCGGATTTCTAAACATACTTCGCTACCAAAAATCATAACTTTCAAGAGTCTTCCTTTCCTCTTTTCTATTCTGCATAAACTCCATACTTTTGCTGCACACCCCATCACCAAATCGCTCGCTAAATATAACTTCACATTTCGTTTCATCAACATCTATTGGTGATTCTTTATGGTGCAGCTGCAGGAGGAGGAGCTTGCTCTTCCGCAACCTTTCCTCTTAAAGGAATTTCAACCTCAGCACCAGCAGTTGGCTCCTTCTTTTCGGCGCCTCCAGCAGCTTTGGCCGCTCTCTCCGCTTCCTTCTTTGCCTTCTTTCTCTCCTTATCTCTCGCCTTGTCCGCCTTCTTCTTGGCTTGGGCTTCTTCCTCCGCAAATCTAGAAGCTTGTGTTCCTCCATATTGTTTTCTCCATTCTTCGGCCTTTTTCTCATCAATACGTGTGAAGAGATATGCTGGTTTACCGATTTTGTGGCCGCTCTTGAGAACGGCTGGGTTCCATTTGTCGGGGATAGAGATGAGTGGGGCCGAAAGTTGAGAGACGATGGAATCGGATGTTGAGGGCATGAAAGGTGATGTGATGGATGCGATGAGATAAGCGAGATTGAGAGCGAGTCCGATGACAGTGTGAGTTCTCTCTGGGTGCTCGGCGAGATTGGCGTTATCTAGACGATATTGAAGAAGGTTGTTTCCGCTGGTTGATATCTTCATGACTTGGTCTAAACCGACGCGAATCTTTACAGCTTCCATGTCGTTGTTATAGTCTTTCAACTGAGCATTGACCTCCTCGATGAAAGCAGGGGCATCGAACTTGTCATCCTTGTATTCTGGAGAGAACTCTGGAATAACTCCATCCATCTTTGCATTGACAAACTTGACAACTCTGTTGACGAAGTTACCCAAGTTATTTAGCAAGACAGAATTATTCAGTTGAATAAAGTTTGCCCACTCAAATTGCGAATCTGCAGTTTCAGGTCGATTCGACAATAGATAATATCTCCATACGGATGGTGGAACGCCAGTATCCTTTGCAGTATCACCGAAGACACCTACACCTCTGGATTTGGAAAATTTTCCGTTCTCGTAGTTCAAGTATTCGGTTGTGGAGAGATGGTTGAGTTTTGTCCATTTATCTCCAGTTCCCAATTGAGATCCAGGGAAAATGACAGTGTGGAATGGAACGTTATCCTTGCCCATGAATTGGTAAAGCTTAACGTTCTCTGGATCGCGCCACCAAAGCTCCCAATCCTTTGTGTAGTTTGCAGTAATCGATGGGTATCCAATACAAGCATCAAACCAAACGTAAAGAACCTTGTTTTCATAACCAGGCAAAGGAATTGGTGTTCCCCATTTCAAGTCTCGAGTAATACTTCGCCCTTGTAATCCTTGTTTAAGCCACGAATTCGTGATACTGATACCATTCTTGGGCCATCCTCCTTCCTCGCTTGATTTGTTGAACCACTCCTCAATCGCAGGTTGTGCTTTGTCAAGAAGTAAAAAGATATGCTTCGTCTCGCGTGGAATTGGGGTGGCACCGTCGACCTTACAAACAGGATTGATAAGCTCCAAAGCGTCAAGAAGACTACCGCATTTATCGCATTGATCACCTCGTGCATCATCGTATTGACACTTAGGGCAAGTACCTTCAACAAAACGATCTGCAAGGAAAGATTGATGCTTTTCGCAGTAGGGCTGTGTAGTTGTGCGCTCCTCCAAGTACCCATTCTTATGTAATTTCATGAAGATATCTTGTGCGATGATCGTTTGCTGTTCCGTAGTCGTCCTTCCGAAGTAATCGAACCCAATCTCGAACCAGTCGTAAACATCCTTATGTTTTTTGTGGAATTCATCACAAAGCTCCTTAGGAGTCTGCTTTGTTTCTAAAGCCTTGACTTCCGTAGCAGTACCATACTCATCAGTGCCACAGATATAGAGGGTTGGGCGATCTCTCAGCTTGCTATAACGAGAGAATACGTCGGCGCTCAGCACACTACCAACAATATTTCCAAGATGAGGAACATTGTTCACATATGGTAAGGCACTGGTAATTAAGATGTTGTTCTTGCCCTTCTCAGGTAGGATAATGTTTGGAGTCGTCATTTTGATTGTTGTGTTGGGAAGGAAACCTCAAGAGAAAGAACCCCGCTGTGGATTTTATTAATGTTACTCGGGTGAGGGTGAGTCAGGCTTTGGCGGGGTCCTCTGCTTTGTAATACAACCTTTCTATGGAGAATCCGAGATGTCGCATTTTCTCTCCATCTCACAGTTAACAAGCAAATTCAACAGAAAATAGTCTTAAGTGCTCAAAATATTCAGAAACATACATCTAAATCAGAAAGAAAAGTTTCGTTCTAGCCAGAATCTAAGGCGAAGTAATATATCGGGATTTTAATATACGATTTTCCAACGCCTACTTCTATATTTTTCCTGAGAGTGCATCAAATCACATCACACACCAAAATGGCCACTGTCGATCCTTTTGAAGATATCCTCAATCTCGAGGAAGAATTTTATTCCACTGGCTACAACCAAGGGCTCTCCGAAGGCATAACCGCCGGTCGCATAGAAGGGCGGACTTTCGGACTTGAAAAGGGATTCGAAAAATATGTCGAAATGGGTCGATTGCACGGAAAATCTATCGTATGGGCCAACCGAACCCCTTCTTTCCAAAAGCCCAAAATCTCCACAATCTCAAGCTCAGAGGTCAAGCGGGAGCGTGAGACAAAGGAAGGAGAGAAATCACATGATCTCAAGTTGTCCGAACTGGCCAAGAACGAAAGATTAGCAAAACATGTGAAAGTATTTCATGCATTAGCGGAAGCTGAAAGCTTGTCGACAGAGAATTCGGAAGAAGCAGTGGGTGATTTCGATGATAGGTACAAGAGGGCAGTGGCAAAGGCGAAAATTATTGAGAAGATGGTTGGGGAGGGACAAGGACATGGAGGGACGAAAAGTAGTGGAGATGGGGCGATTGAGGATGTTAGTGTTATGAGAGCTAGATGAGGTTCTTTCAACGGTTCTCAACTCTGGGAAGCTGGAACTTGTGGTATAAGCAGACGGAGTTACACGAGTCGCGGATTTCGTGGAAGAAGCATTGAATTGAAGGCATGCTTGATTTCAGAATTTGTAGTGCTGCTACGCAAACTTGTTGTGCCTGGTGGTTCTGATAAAGCTGGAAAGCAACGGGAAGCGATATGAAGCCTCATGTTGAGCCCCCTCGAGGCTAACTACAGATGGTTATCGAGCCCACTGTCGCTTCTTGAGCAACTTGGGGCAATTCTGGTGACATCAGAGATCGAAAGATCCGCTGTAATTCTCGGAAATGAGAGAAACGGTACCGTATACCCACAATCTCAGCCGATAGAACTGGAAGAGTGTCTCTGTGGTAAGTAGGAATCGGAGTTGGTGGATCACGTGGCTGGTGAACATCGGACATAGGAGTACTCTGTCGTTGCGGTGGCTGGGGAAAAAGAAGGGGTAAAAGTTAAAAGACCCGAGTGGTATTCAAGACCTGGGAGCCCCTAGACCCTCCTTGGATTTTACGAAGTATCAATTGTAATTCACATCAATCCACCTTAGTATCGCTATCAGTATTAAGTCAAATCTGCTCCATTGTACGCCTTGTTATAATTGCACATAAGTGACTTTCCGTGCACTGATGATCCCCCCTAAGTTCCCTGGTGTTGCACCTGTACCTTGTATTTGATCCAGACATCTTACAAAGACTTCACCATACCTAAAATATTGATAAAGTTTACCCCAAATTATAACCCAGAACGCCCCCAGCCTCAAGGATTATCAAAGTCATTGTGCATACCACCAGACTCCCAAAATGATAATAAAGCAATACTTATTTTACTATGCATCGCTTTCGGTCTCCGCGGCCACACGCAACTCATAACTAAGCTCAAAACATTCTGCAAGGAGATCAGTGACGCTGCCTTGGCCTTCAGGGATATCTGGCCCGACCATGAATTTGCCGTCCACACGCATGTTATCGATTGAATTCAACTAGAGTAATATGTCAGACAAGTCAAGGCAGACAGAAACGTTAGGGTATATCCTACCTTCATGCTGTAAGGATACAATTCTCTGGGAGAACTGACTCCACCGGAATTCTTGACTTCAATGAGACATCGTCTCAGAGTTTGAAGTTGGTTGTAGACCGGAAGAAGTGCTTCAGAAACTGGCTCAGAGGACACCATAAGAAAGTAGATATAAGCATAGCTACGTCGAATTAAATAGAGTAAAGTCTAGTTTGATTAGTTTGTGTATCCAAAAAAAAAAAGTGTAATGTACATACCCGCTGGACATATAATTCGGCAAATTTCCCTTCAGCATCAACAAAATTGCCGTCTACTCTGCTCTCGTCGATTTTGTCCAATTGTCGCTGGAAGTCGTACAAATCTGTTTCCCTCAATGACCAGGCTTGAGTCAAAGATAGCTTCTCAAGTTTGTTTCGAATGTCAACTAGAATGGAATACGGTCCCTGAAAAGCCTCTGGAAATTGCCCCTTTCTGATTGGTCGTTAATGGACTGTAGGTAGAAAATATACATCTGTAAACTAACCTTTCTAGAACAACTTCCGCCCATTTCAAACACCTTTCTAGATATTCACAAACTTCATCATTTCCAGGAGGTGTTTCCCCAGAGGCTGTTACAAACTTTCCCTCAACTCTTTGAGAATCAATCTCCTTTATTTGATTTTGAAGCTTCGTCACCTCTGTTGTTGAAAACTAAATCCCAAATCATAATCAGTATGGCGCTCAAACAATCTCTCACTCAAGCCGAAGAGCGGGTCCATCATAACAATTATCTCACCTTGGCCCTGGTATTTGCCAATGATATCGATCTCAATATCGATATGATCTTTTCGTGAATGGGTAACAAGTCTGCACCGATTCGCTCTAATCGTTTGCTCAAGTTCTTCAATGACCGCTGGCAGACATCGATTCTGTTACCGAGAAGAGTGAGAAGAAAGGGGGAGTAAGACGGCTTAGCATTCTTCACAATACCTCCTAGTCTCTCGAGAGTCTGAGCAACGTGTGCTAGGTCCTTCTCGCAATACAGATCGACTTCGGTAAGGTGATCGAGTAGGCGCTTGATCGTGGATGTGAGGGAATAGGCTGCGGGTGCTTCGTTGGTTTTGCCAATGGTCATGAAGAATAGAGAGAGCAGTTGGAAACACCCATCCAGCACGCGATCCACTGTAAGGTTCTCGATCAGTAATTGCACTACATGTTAAACGTCTTCTCCTCATTACTAACCTCGGTTTTGCTCATCGGGCTTATCGGCTCTTATCTCATTCAGAAGTTTGACTTGTTCAACTGCTTTGCCTTGCAGAACAAGTACATCTGCAGCCTTGATGTAGGTTGTTCTATCTTGCTTTAGAAGAGTCAATTCGTCCCGTATTGAAGTGAGCGATTCCAATATAGGCTGCTCGCGAGGATCAAGGGGTAGCGGATGAGATGGGGTATCAGTCATGATGAATGCTGTTGGTTGAGGTCTAGACTTTGATGACTTGCTTGTGTGTCGTTGGAAGACCTTGATCCTTTAATTCGTATTTTTAGAAGTCGCAAATAATTGATGTACTGATGAAGTAGATTGAGCTTACTATCATTTGCTATTGTTATTTGAATCAGTAACTTAGAAATCGATAGAATAGTGTTGATCCCAAAAGGCTGTTTCTTAGTAAAGAGCTACTGGCTATGTCATATTGTTTCCCTTATTGGATGGTTGGGAAGGCGGGGCAAGTTCCACAAAGGGAATCTCAGCCTTGCATTTACGGTGAACCACCTGCAATTCTGATACCGATTTTTTTGCTTGTGAAACCAGCGATGGCAATGGGGTCAAATCGCATACCGGTATCATGTGTACCTTACATACACCTACCGTTGAGAGATGTTAGAATTCTCTGTAAAATCACCATATCACCTTATCACAGTAGCTTGACAAACGACGACGAATCTGAGCCGACATTGAGACATCAAGATGATCGATGGAAGCGTTATCTGAGTATTGAACACCTATTTTTATGTTGGGGAAAAGAATGATAGAAGATGGATGATTAGATAATAAGAAGTTGCCTGTGCTTCCTATTGGTCAAACTGGCTCCCCGTAAATTATCGCTTGCTGCCCAATCAAACCCTGACTGAATATTAGTCACGCACACTTTCGAATTTCCCAAAACTCTCCCACCATAAACTTTCAATCCTTTCCTTCGAGGACTTCAAGAACATCAACCTACCGACAAAACAACCATCTGTCGGTATGTCGCATATACGCAGTCGCACTCTCATTTACTGCGCCTCTTGCTAATTCATCCAATTCTAGATATTCAAAATGTCTAACGCAGAACTCGCCAGCTCTTACGCCGCGTTGATCCTCGCCGATGACGGTGTCGACATCACTGTACGAATTCCTACATTCTCGAGATTGAGAAACGAGATTGCCCGATTGGGTGGATAAGTGGCTGACTCGATATTAATAGGCCGACAAATTGCAAACTCTCATCAAGGCCGCCGGTATTGAGGACGTTGAGCCAATCTGGACCTCTTTGTTCGCCAAGGTATGCGATTGAAATTCCCACAACTGAGTTGAGGAATGAGGAACTATGGACAGTGCTGATTGTTGGAATTGATAGGCTCTCGAGGGAAAGGATGTTAAGGACCTTTTGTTGAACGTCGGATCCGGTGGTGGAGCCGCTCCAGCTGCTGCTGGTGCCGCTGCCAGCGGTGACGCCTCTGCCCCAGCTGAGGAGAAGAAGGAAGAGAAAGAAGAGGGTACGATAATTCTTACAACCGCGCGTAATTTAGAGATTTCGTATACTAACTATTGCAACAGCCAAGGAGGAGTCAGACGAGGATATGGGTTTCGGTCTCTTCGATTAAATATCTATCTCACCTTTTCTCTCCGTACTTTCAAATGCATGGCCACGGTTTATATTCCCTCGGTGCAATATTGGGCTGGTAGGGTAGCTTCCATAAATAAGCAAGCATTCATGAATTCTTCCGAAAGATAAAAACCTGGTTCCATCTATACTGCCGAGTGCATGAACACGCCGTGATTATGTATGATGAAGGTGGACTGAGATGTCAAAGAATGATATCAAACGAGCCTCTTACGAGGCTTCCAAGACATGTACTTTGGAGAAATAGATCGAACAATTCAATTCAAGGATTTCAAACAGGAGTCTATCAAAGTGTTTTGTAAGAGTACCTACACTACACCAGCCACCCGCAATGTAGACCTTGTGGTGCCCTGCAATCTTTTGTCGACAAGCCTTCGCTAACCACTACTGACAAGTCAGCACTCCACGTCATGTCTACTCCCACCCATGTTTTGCACAGCATTCACTTCTTCCAAATCCTTTGATTCATGTTACTGGCGCCCTTTGCGACTACTTGTCTTCCATTTTGTGTTATCTCAGGATTTCCTCGTGACATCCTAGTATTCCTACTAGAATTAATATATTGCCATTGCTTGTTCGCTCTGGACACTAGTTCCATTTTATATCTTTTGTCAGTCGCCGGACAGTTCAGCTGTAATCGTCGTGATTATTCATGAAGCAAAAGCAAAACTTGGTCCGAAACACCTTCAAGAGTCGTGACTACACATTTCCTTTACTAGAGGGCACGAAGCAAATCTGATAGAAGCTTGATTCATTCACTGCATCAACAACACATTCTCCTGTTGTCCTAGCTGTTTCAAATACTGGAAGAAGCTGAAATATTGATATCACGCTCCAGAGATAAAAAAACTCCACGAATAACTTGCCCCAACTAAATCAACCTTAACTCTTTACGCTTCCTTTCTGAATGCACACTTGAAGGGATATATTTGGATCTGCACACACATCAGTAATCAATCCAATGCCCCATAACTTCGTAACCCGTGTTCACGAAGGTTTGCGGTATTGATACAAAACATACCTTGCTGAAATCCCAAACATCATTTTCTGCATAGATATCCTTTTTCAATACCTCAATGACTTCCTCCTTGCTGCTGGCAAGAGCGATCATGCAACTTCCTTGGAACTTCAAAGGAGAGTCACCGGTGGGAGGCTCGGAGAGAAAGGCGCCTGGTGTAGTTTTTTAGTGGAATGTCTTCAAGGACGATGTAGTGAAGAAAAAATGGTGAAACTTACCGCCCATCTTCCAGAAACCAGACTCAAGACCGGATTTTAGACCTTCAAAATGTTTGCTATGAATTTCTTAGCTCATATATTTCAAGCTCGCATCATCACTTTCTCGTGCAGAGCCCCTTAAAACAAAGCCCCTCATCAGGGTCTCTCGTACGAAACTCCTCGCGTACAGCCAGCCTATCATCAACCCCAGGAAAACTCACGGTCTAACACTAACTCTTCTCTCCAACGCCCCCTCATTATCAGGTAACACAACCAACCACTCGAACTTCTCCGCTGGTGCTGCTGCGGAAGACATCTTCCTGATATTTACTGCTGGGTATGGACGGGTAGTATAAGACGTAAGGTTTTTAGCATATAATTTGCCAGGTACAAATCTCAAGCGCAAGAAGGACATTGGAGAGAGAAGATTATCTACGGTTGGGATTGGGGTTGGGGATGCTGATGTGGTTTATGAAGAGGGGAGAAGTGGGGTTTTGATACTGAGACGCTGCATATTGATAGATGTGGAGGGCATGGCATGCGCCCTTTTCGGGGAAACCTCGGGTGGGGCGTGCGAGGAAAGGAGGGGTTCGCTTCGGATAGGAGATGCTGTTTTGTTGTAATGATTTGTATCGCCAAGTTGATTGTAAAGGAATTCTGGGGGAAACTTTTATCTAAGTATGGCTACTATGTAGTTTTTAGACAGACTCTAACCTTGCTGGCGATAGCGAAGTTACCTGAACAATCTGATCGATATTGGAGTACTGAAACTTAGTTGATCTAGGTCTAGAATATATACTGTATATGGAATTAAAGAGGAAATCAGAATCGAACCAGTCGTTCCATATGTAGGTAGGTACCTTTAGTATCAGATCTATAATTCTGCTGGTTTCATACATCAAATGTAATCTTATGATGGTAAATCTCAACATTGCCAGCCTATGGAATACCTAAATTGCAACATCGTCTTTAAACCCCACTAACCGAATGACTGACTGCAATTTGGCTAAACAGTTCTCTATTCTTTTCTAACTCTGATTCTGATCGCTCATTGCAAAAGCGGCTCCTAGTAAGATGCGAACAATACCTCAGATTCTATAACTGGAAAGCATCGCACACTCCTTGAAAATGCCAGTGAAGTATTCTTATTCTCGTCATAATCTGAACTCCTTCAGAATTCTTGACAATTTGACATCTGTGAAATTATTCACGGGCCGCAGTTGAACATCGTGCTAGTTTCGATCGTCTCATCAACTTCACTTGAAGAGGAAATGCTTCAAAGCCAATGTATGGAAGAGTAAGGATCATTTATCATCTCAATAGCAATATATATATTGACAATTGCTTTACGAGTTGTAAAGATGTAATTCGTCTCGCCGTTGTTATCGTTGTTGTCGTTGTTGTTGAGAAGCAATTCCCAAAACCCGCAAAGAGTTAGCTACAATCAACGCCTCGATTTTACCACTGTGGACAAGTCAATTTCAAAATCACCCCCATCACATTTGGGTACCCTATCATATGTCCAAATCGAAGTCAATCTAGCATAGTCTGACAAAGTGGGAGTTGACAATTATGAGTGATGCTATTAGAGAACCATATTCTGATATACCCCCAATTTGAGCCAGGAGGAAAAACTATGTCATTCCCAGGTCTAGTTCCGAGTCACCATTGATTCCTAGAATCTAAAAAAAACAAATTTTGGAGTTACAGTAGCATTCATCAACGCACGAGATGGCTAAATATGCATTGCTACAGTCATATTTCCAAACCTATATTCACCTCTCAATTACGTCTTCCATATTCCATCCATAGCTAGACGTACCAGAACCAATGAATTATATACGCTAGCGCCGGCTGTACTGTCAATTCATGATTTGCTAAATCGTACCTCTCATAATTCCTTATATAAGTTTCTTTTCTTCCTAGTCTCGCACACAATATTCTGAGTATCTGAACAGCATCCAGAGTCGTCTACAAACAACTTTTCGATCAATGAAGTTTCTTATACAAATCAATTTTACATCTTCGTATCACAATTTCTTGATATTTTCAGATATCATCTTTTTTTCTTGGTAACTTCTCAAAAAGAAGTTATTACTCAATTGCCAAATCTCTCAAGATATAACACCCAACAAAATTTCCCTCGCCTCTCTTTACTATCACAAAACATGCCTTCTCTATCATCGAGAACGAGTCGCAGTCCCAATTCGAACGCAGTCAGCGGTCCCTCTTCATCCACCTCCTCAATGGATATGGATACCCAATTAGCTCCCCTTCCAGAGATTAGAAAGCGCTCGCGTAACTTGGCTTTGGATTCAGATGACGAAGAACCACAGGCTCAGAGAGTCAGAGCCAATCATCCAAATTCAACCGAAGATATTGACGCTGACATGGCTATCGACACGCCAGCTAGAAACGTAATGGCACCTCCTCGCAGCAGGCCATCTCGATTCCGTTCTGGTCACCGTTCTGATCTCCGCAATGGTCGCCGCACAATATCTAGGCGGGAACAAGAGCACATTTCAAGCACTTTCGCCAATATCGGTGCTCCTACTCCCGTTGCAACCCAATCAACTCCAGTTAGCTATATCTCGAGAGCTAACCAGACCACTCACCCAAACGCAACCAGTCAATCTCATGGATCTACTTCGCAAAGACGCGTGTATGATGAAAATTCTGATTATGATGTTGATACTAGTGGAGATGAACGTCCCCCAAAGAGACGCAGAGGTGCACGTCAAAATTCTGTCCATACACCAGCCGTCCCCATAGAAAATCGTAATGCAGAAGCTGTTGCACCACCTACTTCAAATGAAGCTTCGGTCGTCGAAAACCAGGCTGCGGAGACTGCTTCATCAGTAGTTTCAAGCGTGCTTTTAGCAATTGAGGCGCCATCAAATCAAAATACCTCGACACGTGGGGATACACCATACATTGATCTCACGTTGGAAGATTCGAGCGACGAAGAAGAAAATGATGCTGCGGTGCCACCAGCCCCAAGTGTGCTTCCAGCCGTCGCAGCACCGCCTATTCAAAATTCTCAGCCCAACGCAGCCCCGACAGTTGTTGATCTCACATTCGAGGGTTTCAGGGATGAGGAAGAAAGTACAGCCACTATGTCCAAGGCGTACGTTGGTGACAGAATTGTATTGGTAGAAGAGAAACGCCTCGAACCATTTCTACCAGAGCCTACCGCCAAGTTCAAGCGCTTGCTTGAAGATGCTCGAACTCAGAAGCTGTGTTGTCTTGAACAATGGTGGTCTATATTATACGCTGTTCTCGGTACCAGCGGTAATGTGTACACGGTCAGCATACGACAGAAGCCAACTTGCAATTGTTATGAAGGCAGAAGAGATATACTCTGCGTTCATATTGTCTTTGTAGGTCTTTCTATTTACTGACATATCGAAAGATGAGTGATAGCTAACTGCCTTGATTGTAGATTCTCACGCAGTACCTGGATTTGCCAGCGCCACTTCGTCACCAAACTACCTTCTTGGAGGCCGAGATTAGATACATGAAGGAAGATGAGATCAATCGGATTGGTCTAAGGTCAACCGATAAATTCTGTGAACAAAAGTCAGTCGAGGAACAGGAAACTTGCCCCATCTGCCTTGAGAATCTCGAAGACGATGACTCCACGTGGTGTAGAGGCCAGTGTGGGAAGAACTTTCATCTGCATTGCATTTTTATCTGGGCCCACACAAACTTTCGGGAAGGAAATCCCGACATCACATGTGGAAATTGTCGCGCACCGTGGATCTGGATTGAGCATCAGCTAAGGGGATTTATTGAAATAACGTGGAATCTGCAATTTGGGGTCTGCGACTACGATGAAAGATATTGCTCCTTGAGTGAACTCCTAAGGAGGGACGTGAGCCAGGAAGGGTACTTAAATGTAGCTGAGATCCTGGGAATTGACAAGACTGTGAAGGACGATGCAGAAGCCCGTGAAAGCTATCAACGAGTGGTTGACAGATGGAGAGCAGAGATGGTGAGGCGACCTACTCCACTTCTAGATGAAGTGAACGATTTCATAGCCCGCTACCATCCTGGGGTGTATAGAGACGTTCTCGATGTATTTTGCGATGAATCGTTTGACGAAAACAGTCCTAGAGCCATCAGGGTCTTGAAAACTGTGGACCTTGTAGAAACGAATGTCGGGAGGGTTTTGCAAGGATTACCAACCATTGATAATGAAATCATTAGGGACTTACACCTATTATGAAACATTTATCTTAGGTCAATTGAGAAAGAGGCAGCCCCAAGGTATTGTCCCAGAACGGGTGTTCATATAACGTACTCTTAGATCTACTCGCAACACCACCTATATCGGAAAATACCAACTTGAAACATTTTCATCAAAGATGGCAACACAAACACTGGCTTCCCCATACGAACCGACCTTACCTCGACGGAACTTTGAAGTTTCTAATCAACTTCGATCATCGTAGCATATCGAACAGTTTGCAAATATCTCAACCAGAGGGCTGATTCCCTCGGATACAGCTTAGAAAACGCCAGTAGGGAGATGGTGCTGATTATTTGGTGAAAATGGGTGATGAAGGATTGAAAATTGAATTATTAGAACGAGGCACTTGCTAGATGTAGAGTCTTATTTGGTGAATGGTGGTGGAGTTTGTTTGATTGACCGGAACTTATGTGGTGGTTACTATGGAGTTTGTCACCGGTAACAAAGTAGTCCTCAGGATGGCCAGGTTCATGCACGACTGGTGGATCTTGTGCTTTATTTTGGTATGACCTAGATGGTTTTGGCGTTTCAATTTTGGGGAGGTTGAGGAGCGCGGATAGCATAATTATGAGATCAAAATTTTATTTTCAAACAAGAGCGATGGACCATACTATGACTCTGTGATTCCTCATTACCATTGATTTTGTACTCCAGATGGCGCCTTGGTATATTGCTAACTCAAATGTCTTCAGACGATTTTACCCTTGTTGACTACGAATGCTTCCAAAGCAGCTATGTTTGGTGAGTACGGAATTTCTCAAAGTAAAGGTGATGTGTGGACTTACTAATAGCAGAGTAGACTCTGTTTTCGGCTTCTGGGAAGACTAAGCTTCTGGGGCCGTAAAATACTGCATCGTTGACTTCATCTTGATGCCTGGGCAGACAATGCATGAATTTCCATCCTTCCTTAGCCCCGCCTCGTTTTGCCATTTCCTCTGTAATTTGATAACCTGCAAATGCCTTCAATCTCTTTGCTGACTCTTCTTCTTGACCCATAGATATCCATGTATCAGTCACCAATACATCTGCATTTTTGATAGCTTCCTCTGGCACAGAAACCTCGGTGAGTCTTCCTGGAGTATCTGTTGTGGTTGCAGCAGATTGAATAATCTTGCGCATATATTCAGGGATTTTGTAACCCTCTGGCGATGAAACCGAAATGTTGATGCCCAATTTCATTGCTCCAATTGCAAGATCGAAGAGAACATTATTTGAGTCTCCAATCCAAGCAATCTTCATTCCCTCCAGGCCCAAAGTTGGCGTAATTTGTGACGAGCTTCTAGAAGGTTGCGAGGGGAATGCTTCGTGGATTGTGAGGTAATCGGCGATAGTTTGTAAGGGGTGGTATTCGTCAGACAAAGCATTGATGACTGGTACACTCGACCACTTTGCCAGACCAGCAACATCTGAATGAGGTCCCACCCTAGCTACAATACCTGCAGTCATACTCGAAATAACGACAGAGGTATCGTATAGTGATTCATTGACACCCAATTGAATGTCTCCGGAACCAAGAAACATAGGATGTCCGCCCATTGTGGTAACCGCAGATTCGGTCGAGACACGCGTACGAGTGCTGCGTTTAGAGAAGGGCATGGCAATTACCTTACCAGTCAATGAGTTGAGGAGAGATGTAGGGACGGAGCCAGATTTCAGTGCGAGCTTGTGCGAATGTGCGGAACGAACGAGGGTAGTAAGTTCGGAAGGAGTAAGGTCTGCAATGGAGAGAAGATGACGGGGCGCGAAGGGTGAGGTGAGAGGTGTTGATGCATGGCTGTAAGAACGCAACTGGGCTCTGCTGAAGCTCTGCAGAGCTCGAGATCCACGGCGTAACGAATTGAGAGTCATTCTGTTGGTGAGTATAGAGAGATGTCAATTGCGTAGAAATTGTTGGGAGATCAAGCAGAGCTTAGTGAGAGAGAAGGAAGAAGAGAAATGTAAACAAGATTTATTAGAGTCCTGAGATAATTTATAGTAACTTCACCTATAGATCTCACATCAAATATGTACTCGAGTATGTGATGTTGATAGTGAGTCAATTCATGAGTCAATTTTATTTATCTTCCCAACTTTTACTGACTTGTGCTCAAAGCTTCGAGGAACATTTTTGGGACCCCGCATAAGGTTATTGACGCTAACCATATTTGGTAACGAATCGATATATGAACGTACTGATTGGATGGCAAGTTTTGAACGTTTGTATTCTGTGCATGATGATGTTGGCAAAAGAAGTGTGTCCCCGGTGAGGACGTTCCACAAATACTTCTGATGAGCTTTCTACTGAGTGAGACAGGTGAGTTTTGGCCCGTGCATCAATGAGTATCCTAGATAAATATCGCAAACTTTGATTGTACCCTCTCCGACTGAAGCATAATATCAACTCCGCCGTCAATCGAGTATATAGGCATAGTCATGTCCACCAGTACACTTTCTTCCAAAAGAGCTTCAAGCTCTACCAACACACCTTCCGATGAGCACGAGACAAAGCGCGCCAAGAAGTCCGATGCCCCACCCAAGCAATATGTCTATGTTGTTTTGCATGAAACTTCCTTTGGAGGAGATCATACAGCTGTGGAAGGCGTCTTCTCAACCGTGGAAGATGCGACGAACTGGTTGAAGAAAATTGTCAATCTGGAGTATATTCACTTGTATGAAGATGTTGAAGCAGCGGGTATTGAAGTCACAGAGCGTAATGGTCTGGTGAAGTGGCATAGTAGCGATGCTGGAGAAGGGGAAGAAGTTAGTCTGTACGTGCAGAAGCATAGCTTACGAGCACCGGGCTCAATAAGGCATCGAGAATGGGGTGTCGAGTCTGGCGATGAAGACTCGGCGGAAGGGAAACAAGAAGAAGAGGGAGTGGAAGAGATGGAGGAGTAACTTGACGGCAAAATGACCCGGGGCTTTGACCAGTCAATACCTCTGTCAAGGTTTTGAATCCGACCTATATTTGGTTGACCTTAATCACTTGTCAAGAAAAGTTGACCTTGATTGTTAATTTGTTTGTTTTCAACACAACTAGCCCCTTACTTTGGCAATGGAAAAGTGGGTCTCTACTTGAATGAACCCTTTGGCGTTATTGGTCCAATTTAAAGCTCATTCTTATGGCACGGTAGATGGACTCAATGAGCTTCGGGTACATGAAGGGAGGGAGACGATAGGTGGCTTCGACTTTTATCTTTCGAACCGGAACGAGCAATACGAGGGCCAGTGAAGACAACAGTATACAGTTTTATTCCTCATAATACCATGGAATTTCAATATGGATTTGTTTGCGATACCAGCTGTAGGACTCGACTTCAGTAAGCAAACACTACCTAAGTTGGTTTTGTATTGCGTTTTCTAGTGTTTGGTCTCTTGAAGTGATCGTACGTTGACTAATTCGTATAGAACTGGGTCATGACTAACTCCTCGAGTTCTCTGCAAGCTCACGACAATCTATACTTCCTGAAGAGAAATCCATCAGTGAGAATTAGTCGAGTTTCTAGCTGGCATATATACCCTTCGGACTGATCTGACCCTCCTGGCTGAATGCTAATCGCAAATGATGAATGCATTGATCCTGGTTTCCAGAGGGAGCAACAAAATCTGGGACGGATCCTTCTCACCACACGTTTCATGGTTCTGGCGAATGGTTGATGATGCTGTGCTAAGACCAGATTGTTCGTCGCTGAGGATCAAGATTGAGTGTTGAGAATTAGAATGCGTTTTTCGGAAGGTGTATATTTCACTGCAGTTGATTTTTTTTCATAAGAATAGCATGTCCAGGACTGAATTTGAGCCAATACTCAGCTTGGAAGGAAAGAGCACCTTCCAAATCGAAGGAAATGACGAGACCATAAGTAACAACCCCAAGAAAGGAAGGACCCTAAAGCTATATTATGACATCTCAAACCCGCTACCTTCACGAACGAAATACAACTCATACACAAACATCAACATAATACTTCTTTGATACATTTTTGGTTATCGAAATTATCATTCAAGATGGATTGGAATTCAGTAAATTTACCACATATGTATAACACAATCGAGCAAGTCCCTAAGGATGGCGTTCAGTTGAACCCATTATATGACGAAGAATATGCAACACAGAACGGAAACGAGAGCTCGCCATCTTTAGACACCGAAGCATCATATAATGAATCCCGAGTACCATTATCTGAAAACCGCCTCTCAACTGCACCGACTTCCTACCATGGTCTCCATCGTCCAGCGAGATTAGATTGGCATCGGATAGGTCAGCCTTTGGCCAGAGATTTCGCCAACGATACATGGATGAAGACCCGCCGTGTGCTTGCTGCCTGCGATTCCGAAGACGATTTGCAGAATGAGAACTCCAGGTTCACACAAGCAGCCTCAATGACATCAACCCCCTCAAAACCTTTCGGCATGTCCTACACAGTTTCGGAATCCGATTATCCATCCCCATCTCAAACACCGAGCAATGTATCCTTCCACCCCTTCATGTCTACTCAAAAATCAAGACAGGGACAAGATGTCTACATGGTCCTTCACGACGCAGTCCCCGTCGCAGCAGGATCTCTCGCAACAACCAGTGTCACCGGTGTATATACCACACTTGAAGAAGCAAATGGTTTCGTAGAAAGAGTTGCAGAGGAAACTTGTAGGGATGTTCCAGAAGAAAACATGAAGATGGCTATAGAAAATGGAGCGTTTGGTTTTGATATTTTGGATGTGAAAAGGCATGTGTTGCATAGGGTGTATATTGAGAAGCAGACGGTGAGGGGAGAGTGGAGTGACAAGAGTGAAATTGAGGAAACGGGAGTGATGAGGGATCAGGCAGAGGATATGGGGATTTTCGATGGATTTGCGAATCTGTCGTTGTGATTGTTGCGGTAGGCGACGGCTAGAGGAGATTCATGCGCTATGATTATGTTGTCTGATGCATAGTCAGGAGCTTGGGAATTCATGGTCGAGCTTTATGAGGACGATGGTCATTAGATTAGGTATTAATACGAATGGAAAGATATCTTCAGAACTTGACTGATGGTATTTGATCCGAGCGTTTTATCTTTCATCTATGCAATACTCCTTGCAATATCCCAACAATTCAGTATTGAGAACTGGTTAAATAGGTCTTTTCTTGAAATTTTATCCATAACAGGCCACTACTATATACACTCAAGTATAACGCAATCGCACAGTTTGTAAATACCAGCACAAGCCTATAAAGGTATACACCAACATGCAGCCCAAAATTCTTTTCTGATTTGCATGATTGGCCACTGAAAGATCTCCTCACTTAGGAAGGTAGTAGTATATTAAACCAGCGCTGTAACTTGTTCGTACAAATCTCGTCCATCAAACGAAGCGAATACGTATCGATAGCATTAAGTACATCCATATGTGCTTACCTCGTAATTCAAGGCTTTCGGATATACTAAATTTCCGTTAGAAAATTGCGATTGGAATATTACTACCATAGTAAAAAGGGGCTAGCTAAATAAACAGAGAGTAGTAAAGAATACATGCAAGCAACACGTGAAATAGAGCAAGGAAGGGAGATAACCCAAGTCGTCCAACCCAAAACCGCGCAACCCATCCAACCCATCCACACACTACCATCCACACACTACCATCCAACACCACACACACATCTCCCACCCAACCCCAAACCCATCAGGATTTAGAAGTCAGGACTCCCCCTGTAATCCTAGGATATACGATATGCAACAAAACTATTTTTTCCCCTGTGTGATTGGGATATCCCGGCTACCTTAGGTAGGATATTATATGATATGTGTTTAGATATGGACTCGTGATAGTATCCGGATGAATTTGAATCTGAAGAAGGGGGGGAAGGATATTTTACTGGGTTGCTTGATTTAGCCTTCTTCCGGATACGGGGTGTGTGTGTGTGGTGGGTTTGGAGTTGTGAGATGTGGAATGTGGGATGTGGGATGTAATGGGGTAGATGGGATATGGGTAAGGAGTGCAGCATGAGTATTATGCGAAATTGAAAAAAAGGGGGGTAGTTTGATGTGTGTGCTATTAGATTAGCTAGGCGTTGATCTCTGCAGTAGTTTTTGTTCACTGCTCTAAAGTAGCTATTAATAACACGCATAGGTAACACTTCTGAAAAGGCTTTCGCATAAAAAATATGTGTTTAGATTATAGGATATACTTTTAGAGTCTATCTCAAAATTCATTATCTTCATATTCCATATATGGAAATCATAGTTAAACATCCACCCCTTAGATCGAAACAAATCCTGTCCTCTTCTTACCGAGATTCTAAAAGGCCCAGCCAAGCGTCAACCTATAAATCCGCTCCCACCTAGTCTCCTCATTACTACCCCGTCTAGCTGCCTCCTGCGCCAAGTATTCTTGTTCCTGCGCATCAATTCTAGCTTTTCCACTAAAGAGATCTGCTTCCACAGGGCTCAAGATCTTCGTCTTCATTGAGTATTTGTATCCAAAGTACATAATAATGTACAATGGAATGGCCAAATATGTAGTGATGAAAGTTGAGTGATCAAAGACAGGTGTGGTGCCCGCTGGGGCGGTCTTTTTGTAGCAGAATAGTGCGAATCCCTTGAAGAAGGCAATGAGAATACAGAAGACAAGAGCACCGTATGAGCCATAGATACCGAGAGGTGCTACGTATGCTAATTCGGTGTTCTGTATTCCTTGCGCACGACGAGCGCGTACAAAGTAGATGTGAGAGATGAGGATGGAGATCCAAGTGAGGAGACCGAACATAGTGACGAGATTAACAAAGTAGCCAAAGACGGTATAGGAACCGGTGTTAACACCCAAGAAAGCGAGGAGACAGAATGCAGTACTGAGTCCAAGGGCATAAATGGGAACGCCACGTTTATCCGTGCGCTTGAAGATTTTGAAAGCTTTTCCCTCAGAGGCAAGACCGAATAGTGTGCGGGAAGCAATGTAGAGATCGGAATTTGCCGCCGAGAAGACGAAGATGAGGATACAGGCATTGAAGATCGCGGGGAGGAATTGAATGCCGCTGATCTTAATGGCAACTACGAATGGTGATGCAGAGGCATTGTTGCTCTTCTTGTTGCTGTCGAGAAGGAGTGGGGAATTGTATGGGACGAGCATGCCGAGGAAGAAGACGAGCACGACGTAAAAAAGGAGAATTCGGTAGAAAGTGAGCTTAATAGCTTTTGGAATCACTTTGCGTGGATTGGCGGCTTCTCCTACTGTTACACCAACGAGTTCTGTACCTAAGAAGGCGAAGACGGCAGTAGTGAAAGTAGACCAGACGGCGAGAAATCGACCAGAGTTTCCAGCTATACGATATTAGCATTGTATCTCAACTATCCTAGTACATGAGCTGCTTACACAAAATGTATTCGTGGAACGCTCCAGGATCACTCCAGTATTTGAATCCAGTTGCCTTGTGATCTGGTCCTCCTCCACATACAAGGACTAAACTTAAGATGATGAGACCTAAGATCACAATAACTTTGATACTTGACAACCAGAATTCGAATTCTCCAAAGAATTTCACACCGAAATAGTTGATACAGACGATGGCAACCAAGAATATAGCAATGAAGACACCAGGATTGACTTTTTCTCTTGGCAACCAATATTGTATAACTAGAGATGCGGCTGTAAGATTGTTAGGAGTGACGATGATATATTTGAACCAATAATTCCTAAAGCTCGTCAGCATATACTAGTTGTGTAGAAAGAGACGTGAAAATTACCATCCTAAACAGAACCCTAGAGCGGGATCAACAAATCTGGTAGCATAACCGGTAAATCCACTTGCCAAAGGCAACCATGCAGCCATCTTTCATATCGTCAGCACTTGTTCACTTCACAAGGCTGTTCACAAACAACCTACCTCACCGAGAGCCGCCATGACTAAAAAGCACAATACTCCAACAATCGAATAGCCTATCAAGAGTGGCGCTGGACCTGCCTGAGCAAGGGCTTTTCCCCTGTAACATTGTGTCAGCAACGCCCCCTCGCAAGACTGATCATGCAAGGAAGAAATGACAGATTCTTTGAAAAGAGAGCAAATACATACGTTCCAATAATTAATCCAGTTCCAATAGCACCACCGATTGCTATCATAGTAATTTGTCGAGATTTCAAACCACGATGAAGATTGTGATTGGGATCACTATCTTCTTCACCAACATCTTGAGTACCTGATCGTTCGTGCTCGATGGGATAACTTGATTTCTCTGCACTCGAGGGCGAGTAATCTCGTGAAATGTGTGCCGCCATCTTTGGAAGTATCTGCTGAAATCAAAATCCTTTCGCAAGGAAGACAGACAGGTGCCAAAGTCTGGATGGAAGAAGAGGTGGGAGAAAGGAGGAGAGTCGAAGGATGATGTTCAGAAGAATCTAAAAGGTAATCGATCAATAGTGGGTGGGAGATCTCAACTATCTATACGACAGTACAGTATCGGGCATGCACTAAGAGGCTCCTGGTAGAATCAATAACGTCTAGACTTACCGTATGATAGATAGTCAGCCTCAAGCCTTTTAGTACTTAGCAGGTATAATAAATGATCATCCTGATGGATTATCTATTCACTGATAGAATCAAGACTGCTCGAAAATTGATAATAAATCATAATAATCAAGATTACGGTCCCGCCAAGTCCCCTCCCCAAGATCCCATTCTCAAAGTATCATAGAAGCAGAGTGGATTCGGGCAACCTCGCATGTTCGCGGTTTACCACGAAAAACTCCACCCCGATCACAGTGTGTAAGAGTAAGAGTAATAAGGATACCTGCCGTATGGGGTAAAACCGGGCCTTTTATCTCCTTTTACTCGTTTTTATTGATATCAACATATATATCAACGATGTAGCTCGCAACAAGCGTCTGGGCGCCCAGGACTGTTATCGTGTAACTCGTGAGCTCGGTGGAGCTGATTTCATACCGTGGATCCTTTGAGAGATAAATGGTTCCAAGGCTCGAGCTAGGTTATCTTTTCTGTGTGTGTGTGTGTGTGACCTTGGCATTGAGGAAGACATGATAAATAGATAAATGGTTGATAAGGCACTTGGCAGTTGAGAGGCAACGGGAACCGAGTCAACCGACGCCATACATACATACATACATACATACATACATACATGCATCACACCTACATATTAAAATGTGAGGATGGAAGAGCGACGAGGTTCAACTTGTTTATTTTTTCTTCTTCTCTCTCTTTCTCTCTCTTTCTCTCGCTCTTTCCCTCTCTCTTTCTCTCTCTCTTCCACTGGCTCCCAATTGTTCAGATAATCATCGAAAATATGATTGGATGTTTTTCGAGTAAATACACTTCGGGAGTTTTATTAGTACGGAACCAGCCGGGAATTTTATCCCAGGCTGATGTTTACGAAGGTGATTGCGGGGAAATTTATTACGTAACACTGGCGCCCTAGAAGACAGGGCTCAAACGGGACGGGGATAGCCATTGTCGTGCGGGCGGTACCTGATTGTTTTCTGAGTACATAATTTTTCCTGGGCAACCGATATATATCTATACCTAGGTATGTCTAGTAAGATATCCCGTTTACACTTTCCGAAATGTCAAGTGACCTACAGGTTTCAAGTTTCAAGGTTGATATAAGGATTCAGAGACCGGAAGCCATTCTACTCAAAGTACCCACTAATACGTAACTCGAGAAGAATTAGCTTTTGTTTTGATTCAATTCCTTTTTAAGTCTGCAATCCTATCACCTCTTTGCATTTGCTAATAAGTTCAATGCGCTTCCTGCCAAAACAAATCCAGCTTGATCAGGACTGAAAGTATGCTTAGTCTTGAGAATAATTTCCTCTCCCGAACCGTGCTTCTTGACCCGCAAACTGACTTCACCCTTTCCGCCATTCTTCAACATGTCGTATAA